AGAGAATTTGAAGATCTGCAGTCTCAGCTACAAAGTGATCTGAAGCAACTTGGTATGTATTCTGTAAAAAGAAACCTACATTCCATCTACTACAAGGTCACATGTTACATAATCAACAGTTGTTCCTATTATTTGAAAGCTAAATTGAGGTTTGATTTAACATGGTTTCAGGAGATCAAGTACTTGAGATGTCTAATGCTGCTCTTGGATATCACAAGGTTCTGAAAGAAAACACAACTTTGCATAACATGGTTCAGGACCTAAAAGGTGTTTCAACTATGATATCATCAACAAATGTACTAATGGCTTAATAACTTTTTATCAACAAATGTACTAATGGATATCACAAGGTTCTGAAAGAAAACAGAACTTTGCATAACATGGTTCAGGACCTAAAAGGTGTTTCAACTATGATATCATCAACAAATGTACTAATGGCTTAATAACTTTTTATCTCTCTTTTTATGATGGGAGAAAAGTCTCTCAAAGAATATCAAGTGAAAGTAAAAGGCTGAATTGCTATCCCTATAAGTACCTGTTAGAACCAAGTTTTGTTCCACAGAAGCTCTCTAATCTTGCTGTATTTATCTATTGTTTAGGGAATATTCGAGTTTACTGCAGAATAAGGCCTGCTTTCAGTGCAGAAGCAAAAACTGCCATAGATTTCATAGGAGAAGACGGTTCTTTGGTTGTAATTGACCCACTAAAATCCTGGAAAGATGGGAGGAAAATTTTTCAGTTCAACCGTGTTTTCGGTCCAACTGCCACTCAGGGTAATGGATACTGTTACATAGTACAGTTGAAGATACATCTTCCATTTTCTTTTTCTAATATTGTTTCTTGTAACAATACTTACAGTTGAAGATACTGTTACATAGTACAGTTGAAGATACATCTTCCATTCTCTTTTTCTAATATTGTTTCTTGTAACAATACTTAATTTTACAGAAGATGTATTTCGAGACACTAAACCGCTTGTAAGATCTGTGATGGATGGTTACAATGTCTGCATATTTGCTTACGGTCAAACTGGATCAGGGAAAACATATACTATGGTGAGAGCCTTTAGATAAATAAATTCCTTGTATTCCTGTAAATTGCAATGCTGTTAGCTACTTTTGTCATCTGATACTTCTCTCTTGGCAGTCTGGCCCTGGAGGTGGATCATCAAATGAATTCGGAATCAACCAATTGGCTCTGAATGATCTATTCCTACTGTCTGATGAAAGGAAGGACATCATGAATTATAAGATCCATGTTCAAATGGTCGAGATATACAATGAACAAATTCATGATCTTCTTGCAAACGATCATTCACCTACCAAATATCCTTTCATTGATCATTCCCTGGTTTACTTCATTATTTCATCAGTTAAATTAGAGATAAATCAAAGCGGGAAAGTTAAATAAATGCATCCTTAACTGTTCATACTTTAGAAATTAGAACCTGCATGGGTGGCAATGGTTTGCCTCTGCCTGATGCTAGCATGCATCCAGTGAATTGTGCTGCAGATGTTATAAACCTGATGAAACTTGGTGACTTGAACCGTGCTGTTGGCTCTACTGCCATGAACAACCGCAGTAGCCGTTCACACAGGTGAGGCTAACTAAACAGCATTCAAGTTATTCTATTCCATTGAGTCAGAGTTAATAAACTTGTTTAAGTTTTATTTATGTTCACATGAAATACTTGCAGCGTGCTGACTGTACACGTGCATGGTGAAGATACATCTGGAAACATAATACACAGTTGCCTCCATTTGGTTGATCTTGCTGGCAGTGAACGAGTTGACAAGTCAGAAGTTACTGGAGATGGCCTCAAAGAGGCACAACATATAAATAAATCTCTCTCTTGCTTAGGCGATGTGATCACAGCATTGGCACAGAAGAATTCCCACATCCCTTATAGAAACAGCAAACTCACATTACTCTTGCAGAACTCTTTAGGTTTGTACAATAAATTATTCAATTAGCTCAAGATTTCGCGCTCCAGATATAGCAACTCACGTCACTGATATAGACAAGATTTAGTCAAATATGAATTTAGGCTTTGAAACATCATGTAGGAATGCTTTTGAGTTCTGAAATTACGACCATTTATAGTTTGACTAATGCTTTTTATGGTGTCTTTCAGGCGGACATGCAAAAACATTGATGTTTGCTCATGTTAGTCCTGAAGGGGATTCCTTTGGAGAAACAGTTAGTACTCTGAAGTTTGCACAGAGGGTTTCGAGTGTGGAACTTGGTGCAGCTCGTTTAAATAAAGAGAGCACCGAAGTTTTAGAACTCAAAGCTGAGGTAAAACACGTTCATTTTCATGATATTATATGGTTATAAGCATACAGTGGCTTAAAAGATGGGTTATAAGACAAAATAAACAAAAAAAATTATGGGCTTAGAGTGTTGGATTATCATTCATTACCTGTCAACTGCTCCAATTACTGTAGATTGAGACCCTCAAAAAGGCGTTGGCTAACAAGGAAACACAAACTCCGCAAATTAACAAACCAAAGGAAGCAGCAAGAACACCTTTCCAGAAGCCTAAAGCAATAGCTGAGAGACCCACTCCACGAGCTCGAAGATTAAGCATAGAGAATTGCACCACCATGAGGGTAGAAAAGGCCAATGCTGATGATGAAACGGGATCTAAAACCCCAGCTGCGAAAACTCGTTCGAGAAGATTAAGTTTAGAAGGGCCAAGATTAGCCAGTAAGAACCTTGAACGGATCAAATCATTAGAAACCACAAGCAAGCAAGATGATAAGCCAGAAGTTGTGTGCTTACAGAAATCTAGCGAGCTTCAAGAGGGAGATGATATCACAAAATTGTATGATCAAGTTGGTAATGGTAGCTGCATGGAGGCTCCTCACAGTCCAACTTCTGCTTTTAAACGCCAGCAGCCTCCTCGAAGCCCAACTGCTGGTTTTAAAATTCAGCAGGCTCCTCGGAGTCCAACTTCTGCCTATAAAAGACAGCAGCCTCCTCGAAGTCCAATTTCTGGTTTCAAAAGTCAGCAGGCTCCTCGGAGTCCAACTTCTTTTAAAAGCCAGCTGCCTCCTCGAAGTCCAACTTCTGGTTTCAAAAGTAAGCAGGCTCCTAGAAGTCCAACTTCTGCCTATAAAAGCCAGCAGCCTCCTTGGAGTCCAACTTCTGTTTTTAAGAGCTGCAATGCACCTAGGAGTCCAACAAGTGCTGCCATTAAAAGCCAGGGGGTGAAAACAACAGATAACAGGACAAGAATTCCTTCTCTTCAACTACCGAAAACACCCGAGCCACTGATAACCTCTATAGATGAGATCAAGGGAGGAATGCGAAGTGAGCGTACAATTTCATCCGAATTCCAGACGCCTACTTTGATTAGCAGCACTCATGGAAAGGGATCTCAAATACGAAGATCACTTCGCACTATTGGGAAACTGATTAATGGCTCCGACAGAAAGTAAGTGATCCATTCCCTGGTTGCATTTTAGTTGTTTTTATGCATATAATCAATTCGTATGAGCATAGGAAGCTGTAGCTTTCAGGAAGTTCAACAGTGTGATTTTTGTTGCCTGAGAATTGTGTTTATTGACTTGTGAAATCTTACAGGAACCAACAGAAAAGGACTGAAGCAGCGCCACTATCACCTTTCAATTGCCAAAATGAGGTGAAGTCACCAATCGCTTCTAATGCACGGACACTAAGAAGACAATCCCTAACTGGCATTCCACCACCAACCATGTCGAGGAGATCTTCACTTGGAGGAGGGACCTTGCCTGATTCTTGTAAGCAAAATGAACACTATATCGCAGTTAGCAAACTATAATGACCAAATGTAGTATTTACAGAATCGTTGTTCATTTTATAGGTGCAAACGAAAGCAGAAATTCCAAGACTCCTCCATCACGCGCTTCATCCAAGTCGAGGTGGCTATAAGGAACAGTAAGTAGTTAACGTCAAGGAGCTAGCTGTAGGGATCAAGAAGTAGTGCTTTGGCTTTGGTATACTGAATACTGACTACTTCAGATTGAGCTAGGACAAACATTGATGACACGGTTATGCTGCAGATACTCGCTGCAAGTGTAGATGTAGTAAGGCTGTTAACATTGACATTTCTGTACAGACTACTGAGGCAGAAATTAGGAACTGGAGCCTGGAGGGGCCACAAAGATGCAAAATCTTTGTTATTTGAACCATGAATAAACTTATAGAAGCACATTGTTGTATACCAATCAAAAAACTAACATTTCAATGAAAGTTCTTTTCATCAATGCCTTCTTTAGATGTATACAAGTACAAAAATTCTTCCTTTACTACAAGTTTGCATGACCATCTGATTCTGCATTGGCTTGTGATGATAAACAACATTTAAGCAAGACATAAACTGCAATAAAGCCTGTATAAAAGCTCAAACATTTCAGCACAACCTAAATGCTGGTTAAGAATAAAGATTGCCTTTAAAAAGGTAGTTATGTTCATTTTTTTTGGATTGATTGATAACTCTAAAGACCTACAATCTTCTGAAATTACTGCAGACTTTAGCAAAAGATAGGATACAATGGAAATTCTTATGCTAGTTAGAAACGTAGAGACTTTCTAGTACTTAACATGGCAGTGAAAATTCATATAGACAATCCCAACTTGTTCGAGACTGAGATGTAGTAATTGTTGCCGTTAAATATAGATTTAGACATTATTTGGTTGCGAGGCGAGAAGTTTCATGGTGTGCCTCACACAACTGACATTACTTGTGTGAGGCATCTTTTAATCTCACAAATTTGTGGACTCATATCTTACACTTTTGGGTCCACAAAATATTGAGACACAAAATGAGCCTCACACAACCAATGTCAGTTGTGTGAGGCACAAATAAAAAAACTTCTCTTTTGATGGTAAAATATTTGTCAAATCCTTGAATTTAATGCTCTATAATTCCCAAGAAAGTTTAGATTATTTAGATTTTTTGTCTTTTGAAAGAATGGACATCATTCACTTAATACCCTTCATGTTTTAGACTTGCAGAACATTCAAGTTTATCTTGAACTAAATTTAAGGATCGAAAGTAGTACAATTCTTACAGGGATGTCATTCACAACAAAAAAAATACAACTAAAAACAGCAACAAATTAGTAGCCAAATATTCCAGAATAGCTTCTGAAATATCTACATGAGAAATTTGCTCTCTACTAAGCCACAATATTAGCCAGATTCCACCATATTCCAAGTTTCCAATACCAAAATTACAGACCAGTTGCCTATTCCAACCACCAAGAATCTTTGGCCATTACCAGCAAGAGTCACCAGAATGTCAAACGCAATACCAGCCATCTCTAACGCTGTGGCAATGCAGGGGTATATGACATAACCAGGTAGACAGTACTAAATACATGCAAACAGCAACGTTCAGAGCTTTGTTCTTGAGACCCCTGTCCATATGAGCTTAAATCGCCACGTGCAATTTCTCCGGCACAATAAGTTCCTGAGAAGGTAACCCCGGGGAAGTTCTCCAAGAAAGGTGAGCCGTCTACATTAGGTTCACCAAAAAATAACTTGCCACGGCCACAACAAGCAAACATAATACCACCAAAAACAGACTTCTTATGCATATCTAAGCCATTGCCATTAGTATGATCATCACTTTGGTAGTTAAGATCTTGCTTCAAATGTCTGAAGCTGTTTGATACATGGTTGCAAGAAACACGTGCCAAACCAGATTTTGCCTGGTAAAACCGAAAGGAGTCTCCACTTCTGATACCAACACCATGGACATATAGATACTCCTCATCACCTCTGCAAATTATTACAATTAGTTATAGAAGTGAAGAGGACAAGGAAAAGCGTACAAGGCTCTCAGCATAATGATTTCAACAAGATACTAAAACGCTTTTCCATGTTAGCAGAAACAAACTTAAGTAACAGGCACAACTCTCTCGAGGAACTATGGAAACTTTTTGGAGAATAACCTCCACCGGCATGCTTCTTTGCATATTCTTAACCTCAGGAAGCCAAAAAGGTTGTTTATATAGACTATAGAGAGCAGAACATGACAAAATGAGGAACATTCAAACACCATATGTGAAGACCAAAAAAGCATAATCAAGCGTGATGGTGCATTAATCACCTTAAAACCTCATGGAATTCATGCATATTTATCCAGCTTGGCTTTTCCTGCCCAATAGAGCATTTCCTTCTTTTTGTAACTCCAACATAGAGAGCTGGACAATTGATATGGCCACCGAGCTGGTGAAATCAAATCGTAGAAAAGAAACATCTCAAGTCAGAGAAGAGTGCGAAATTTTGTTCAGCGGGTTTCAGACACACACACGTGATGGAAGATGTATACTTGGAGAGCAAAATATTTCATCAGTTAGACAGCTTCCACGTTGTAAATAAGCATGGTTAAGTTCAAAAACATCTCAAACCCACAGGAAACCTTCACTTTCAGATTAGGCTTTATAGCAGATTACTAAACCATTAAGGAATAATACCCGATTTACAAAAACAAATTCACTACGGTTTGTTATCACATACCTTTTGTAAATTGTGCATGCGATGAAAGATATACTCACAATCATAATTCTGTAAAGTCTTTTGTAACCTTAATTTGCAATGCTCAGATTCATTGAATTTTACCATTAGAATTTGCAAATCAGCCAGACAGCATGATATCAACTCTAATCATCCAAATATGTCCATTCTGCCATAACGCATTTCGTTAAACTCATTGCGCACTCTTCCCTGCTATAGTGAGGCAAGAGTAACAGAGTTCTGACATTTGACAAATCCTCGTGTTTCTGAACTTAAATGCTTCACTACGGTGGAAGGAATCAAGGAAAAGAAAACAAGACGAGTTACACACACCACAAAACGTGGAAGTATTTGATAATTTACTTTATTGTGAATTACTTCCTTCAGAACTGGTTTAAATTTACTTCACAAGATGTACTACCTTACCTCATCATAAATCTGATCTAAAATAGTCTGACCATCCAGACTCTCGCGAACTGCTTCTCTTTTCGCGGTGAGCCAAGTGGAATAATCTTTAGGTCTCTCCCTAACAGAAACAGCTTTGTACACAGGTCCAATTGGTGAAATGCCAGTGGATAACATCACATGAAACTGAGTTTCCCCAACACCTGTTTACAGGTTCCCAGAAAATGATTGCCACAATAAACTCCCTGGAAATATAATATACTAAATTACCTAAAGATATGACAGTATAAGCAGAAGACAAGGAATCTAATACTTTTAACTAGATAAAAGTCTGATATATTTAACTATATTTACTCATATAACTGCAAAAGAAACATCAGCATAACTTTAAGAATTTATGATAATTTCAAAAATACTAAGGATATGTACTTATAACTTCATGCATAACTACAATGTTTACAGAGAACGAAATTTCATTTTAGAAAGCACATTGGATAACATAGCACCAGGTAAGATGCACTACACTCTACACGGTGCTCAAGCTATAAATAATCATAAAATTTCATACAAACTCAACATCTCGGGTTAGTTAAGCCTGTATATTCATCATCTGATGACTAAACTATCTATTAACACAACTGAGAAACCAAATAATACACATGCCCAATCTCTCTTTCTCTTTCACTCTCTATATCAGACTAGCATTGGTGGCCCGGTTCTTTCTGACCCGAATGCCTTATAAAACAGTGGTCTTGTTAATGAACAATCAGGATTATAATTTGAAACCGCAAAGTTTCAATTAAGATATAATTGCATACCAGAAGGCTTGCCTCTATCCGTTGAAAATAAAAGAGCAACAGCAGCTGAACTGGACGCTTTGTTATTAGAACGGTTAATTGCTGTATCACCTCGGTATAAAAACTGAGAACCTCCGTCACCCACAATGACAGTTTCAGTGGAAAAAGCATAATCTACAAACACAAAATGGCGCACAGAAAATATAACTTGTTTCTCACAGAATCAACATAAAGGTATATGTGAACAAATAAAATTTTGCATAAATGAAAATTATGAAGCTTACTCACCCAACTTTTCAAGGACAGGTTTGATGTCAGTGTCCTCGTCCTAGAACAACATTCAAATGATTCTTATTACAGTTATTGTAAAAAAAAAGAAGGTTGATCATAGATAGAAAAGCAAAAGCCCCAAGTGTCCCTCGAAGTTCGTGTTCCAGTTTTTTAAGCCCACTCACTCTAAAGTCTAAATTGATTAGTCTGGGCACTCATACAGAATCTGAATTACATGAGGATTAACTTTATCCCCTTCATCCACAATTTAAGGAATATTAGACATCATCACTTTGACAAGCAGAGGATATACTGCTTTGCAAGAAATAACAAAATAATAGGTTTAAACAGACTTACGACTTACAGAAAATAATAAAATCCCCATTGGTGATGCTGATCCGGAATGAGAGGATGAGTGTTCCCTGATACTAAGCACGAGATCATCAATCATGAGTACTTGATTTCCCTGAAATTTGTTCTCCCAAAGTTAGTGTAGCCCATTTTAAATCAAGTTAGCACAAATTCTCTAGTATATATAAACTATTCACCATCTTCAAGATTCCAAGTAGGCACTTCATATATTTGAAATGAGAATCAAACTAAAAAATGGAAGTTCACATTTCTCCCAATAAGGCAGAGATATTGTAAAAAAATGTTTGGATTGTACTGGAGTACAGAGTTACCTGAGTTTTTGATAATGGGATTAAATCAACTGTCAATCCTGGCAAGAAACCAACAGTTAGTAGAACACCCTGGTTCTCATTACCAAGATCCTCATGAGCCTCGTCATCTTCAAATGTGTCCCACTGAACCTGGGAAAACATCATTTCTCCGCTTCAATTTTTGTTAAAAAGAAGTAAGAATGCAATCCCAAGCAAATTCTATTCTGTAGCTACTAGATTCACCTCTTCAAACTCATTCGTGTAAGCATCTTTCCCAAAAATTCCTTGGGATATTGAAGTAATTACTGGAATTCGGGAGTCAAATCTACAAGTAATCTGCAGAGGAAAAAACCATCATAAGCAGCACATATAGCTTATTCCAGTGTACGACAATTCATACTTTGAATGAATGGTTTCATTAAGATCACTAGTGTAACAGAGTATAACATTTCAATTAAAACAACAAAAAAAGGACGCTTTCGTTCTGATTTTTCTCGTATATTCTAGTCTAAGTAGTGATTCCAAGATATCGAGTAGTTCACATAGGTCGAACCGAACCCTTGATAAAGGAAAGAGATGTTGTGTATGAATCACTCAATAACTATGCTAAGAAACTAGGAGATTTTTTTGTAGGTTATTCATTATAGATACTTTAACAAATTGTCTTTCTGAGCCGAGGGTCTATCAGAAACAGCCTCTCTGCCCTATTGGGTAGGGGTAAGGTCTGCGTACACATTACCCTCCCAGACCCCACTTGGTGGGATTTTACTGGGTAGTTGTTGTTGTTGTTATACTTTAACAAATTCTAATAACTATGTCAGTCTCTATGTAACTACTTGATATCTCCTAAAGGTCAAAAAATGGAACCAACAATCCCACAACTAACTTCAACAATTACAGGACTTAACTGATGTTTTATTACACTTCACTCTCCTAATCTTTTGCACATTAGCCCATACTTAACCCATTAGGTATCATATTTGGTTCGAATGCAACTATTAAGATAAAATTTCAAGTTATTATTATACTAAACTGAAAGTGGATCCAAGTTGATTTTTGAACAATTTGAATATCGTTTAGAACAAAATTGAGATCCTAAAATGTTCTTTTTATATAATAGAATAATACACTCTCTATCAAAGGGGAGCCTTGGAGCAACGATCAAGTTGTCTCTGTGTGACCTATAGGCCATGGGTTCGAGCCGTGGAATCAGCCACTGATGCATAGGCTGCCTACATCACACTTCTTGGGGTGCATCCCTTCCCCGGACCTTGCGTGAACGCGGGATGCTTTGTGCACACAACATTCTCCCTATCTCAAATTATGACACTTTTTAATTTGGTACAACAGCAACAACTAAAACTACTACTACTATTACTACCAGGGGTGTTCATTGTTCGATTTGGATCGGTTTTTTTCGAAACCAAACCAAGTCGGGTTTTCAAATATTGGAACGGAACCAAACCAATTAAGTCGTTTTTTATTGATTCGGTTTATGCCGGGTTTTTTTATTTTTCCGGTTATTTATCGGGCTTTTTCATAAATATGAGACATACACCACCAAACACATATTCCGGCGATTACATTTTCAATGTAACATTATCAAACCAATTGTTCTTTGAGAAATCTATCATTTACCAAGATATATTAATGATAATTGAATTAAATAGTGATGAATAATTTAAGGACTCAATTAAAAATAGATTATTTTTAACACGAAATAGATTCTTGTACTTAGCAAAAGAAAATTACCAATCAAACTAGAATGTAAAGGCAAGAAACTAGATTATTATAATAGCAAAGAACTAGATTAAAAGTACAAATGATTAACATGTACCATAACTTTGTATAAAAATATACATATATAGGTGTAATAATAAAATTTAAATAGCTACTTCTATAGTCGATTTGGTTCGGTTTTTTCGGTTATTTTTTTATCAAAACCAAAACCAAACCAAATTTAATCGATTTTTAAAATTCAAAACCAAAACCAAACCAAATAAAAAAATGTCGGTTTTTTTGGTCGGTTTGGTTCGATTTACGATTTGGTTCGGTTTTTCGGGTCTTTATGAATACCCCTAATTACTACTACTATGCCCAGTCCCAAACAAGTCGGGACGGCTATATGAATCTCACTAACCACGTTACTCCATTTAAACTCATATCATGCCAATATTATTCCAACTCTAAATAATTTGGTGACGTTCCAAAATGTGTGCCACCATTCTATTAATAACATAATCCTACACAACTTTCACAACTTCTAAGAGTTCAAGTTTACTTAGAGATCCAAATTCAGATTTCAATGTAAAGTTTTTTCTATCAAACTAACATTTCAACTATTACTTTAATATTTTCTCGTATTACTACTAATATAACAAAAAAAGTGAAATTGATATCTTAAAACTCTGAGTAGAAAAGTATTTAGAATCAGTAGAAAAGGTTTCCTTTTTGATGACTTATTTTGCAAACTTAAAATAAAAAAGTAAGATAGTTAATTCTATTTCAATTTGAATATTTAGCTAACATTCATTTCGATAAAGACCATTTAACAAACAGATTCACTGACCATGCCACAATTTCTAGGTACACGTAAATGCAAAATATATAGAGAGAGAGAGATCACACACCAGCCGGTGAGCTTCTTGCAAGTCAAAAGAAGGCCCAATGGAAGCAATGACAAACTGGGGTCTAATCGGCCTCGCTAAAACCTTTTCAACAACCTCATTCACAGCACCCTGCACCAAAAATTCAACTTCAACCCAATAAATTCGCACCAAAAATTCAACTTCAACCCAATAAATTCTTGTAATGAACTAAACAAAATACTCCATTTCATTCCCTGAAGTCTAACAAACTGTTTATCGGTCAAACGTAAGTGTATTCTTTCATCAGTTCTCATCTTGTGTTTCATATAATAATATCAAAATTCAAAATTTTAAGCATAAATTCTTCCTTCTGCCCAAAAAGAAAGGCGAGGCTTGGAGTAAAAGGGTCAATTTTTTGCTTTTTGTGTGTATTTAGACTCCCATTTCTTCAAATTTCTAAATAATTAACATATTAAAAAATTCTGTAAAAGATACTCCAGATCAACTCCCTCCGTCTCCATTTATATAGCACACTTTCCTTTTTAGTCAGTGCTAGAAAGAATGACACCTTTCTATATATAAAACCAATTCAATTTTTAACTTCTCAGATTACTTTAGACCACAAGTTTCAAAGTGATACTTTAGACCACAAGTTTCAAAGTGAGTCTAAGAAACGTTTTTCTTTTAATCACATAAATTGAATAGAGGGACTAATTGTTGTACTAGTTAAATTAAGAGAAACCTGAAGATTAGGGTTTCGGGAAAGAGAAGAGGAGAGATTTGGAAGAGAGAGGAGGCGAGTGATGATAAGGTTCCACGAACGGCTAACGCATGCTGCTGCTGCACATTCTACTGCTGGTAGCTTAGATAAAATGTTATGTAGAATGTCTTCTCCGATCATATCAATCGTCGCCGCCGCCATCTCCGCCTGTCTCTGCCTTGGTTTCGCCACCATTTTTCTGAGCTGAAATCCCACGTATTGGTTTTGTGTGTTGTCTCCGGTCTTTTTGCAGCTTTTAGGATGCTATTTAAGAAATAGCCGAAATGTAGTATTTAAAGTTTAGCCGCCTGTCTTCTTTCCTTTGGTTAAATGCTTAAAATTAACTTCTTTTCTTTTTGATTTGCACCGGGTGTCCGAGTCTCTAAGAGCCCCGACTAATCCCGGGGTGCACAGAACCTCGGCAAGGAGTTTCCCGCAAGTGCACCACGGTTAATTCAGGTTTTACCCAGTCCGATAACCCTCAAAAATTATTTGCACTCAGTGGGTTTCAAATGCTTAAAAATAACTTATCGAGTATATATACCTTTTATTCTTCTCATAGTTCAACTATAGAACTTGAGACCGTGCTGAGCCTCACAAGCTTCCTAGATTGAAAATTTGATGGAAAAGATCTAAAATTGGAATCATGACCAATCAAGCCACTACAACCGGGAATCTAGAGCGGGTTTGTAAGTTCAATTGAACTTATTGTTTTCAGCTTGACCTCTATATACATACATCAAAAGAAGAAGAAATTAACATGTATACATATAATTAGATATCGTTTATTTTGAACCCTTTCGACTATATATAATTAGATTTTTTTTTCCCTCTAAAAGCTATGCTCCTATGCATTTATATGTGATTCCTATTTAAATGGTACCATTTTATGGTTCGGGATTCTAATCTTTTTAAGTTAGTGATTCTCAATTAATAATTTCAATATATCAATGAATTTCTTAAGACAAGTTGGATTCGGCCAAACTCGTAACTACTCTAGCTCAGCCCCTGTTCCTACTGAAAACATCAACGAACATAATCCTTTACCCTTAAAACGGATAACAACTGAATTTACATGTGGTTTTATGGATATGTGAAATAATTCAATACAAGCGATTAATGATGTTAGATTAAGCAAATAAATGACCAAACCAATTATAAGAATGAGTCCGAGCTTGGTTAACGGCTTAACGAGGAACGTGCCTTCGATTTCGAACTAACACTTATGAAGAACTTATGAACAAGAACAAGAACTTTGAATAGCTTTCAGAAACAGAAGTGTATTGCCTTGATATGCGTGTTACAGTATGTCTAATGAGTAATAAGCTTCCCCTTTACATAGTAGGGGAGTTTTACCCAAGGTACAATTCTAACAAAGGTAAAAATCTTTCTTTTTGCTAATCACTGATTTTCTGCCGATACGGGCCGTGATTCGCGCTGTGATATCCGGTTAGGCACGGACATTATGGCCCTTTGTTAATCGTGTGCGGTTGTTTGATAAAGTTTTTCGAGGTCTTGGGACACGAACCGGACCAGGAGGTCGTACTTCGAGCGCACGTGGCGCAGATTCTCGAAGGGCCGATGTGAGGCCCGTTCTCATGGTAAGACCTCTTTTTGAATAGCCAATACCACGTTTCTATCTTTTATTAAACTAAGTCCTCTTCCCTTTTGTTATTGCATGTTTGCCAAAGACCATCGAACTTAGGCCTTTTGAAGGGGGCGAGGATGTTTCCTCGTCCGTTGATTCCTCCGTTGCTGTCACGGAGCAAAAGAAGAAAAGGAAGAGAAAACCTTCGGGCTCCGAGGTAAAGAGACCAAAGAAAAGGTCGGCCCATAAGCCAAGGAGGGGCTCCAGTTCCTGAGTGCTGGATTTTAACTCTCTTCTCCGGCTTAGGGACGAGCCGGAGGATGAACCTATTTTTTTTACCCATGGGACGACTTATCCCGGAGAACCGGAGGCATCTAAGGGGGAGACTCGTGAGATCGACCCCCTTCCAACTCAAAAGATCGATGTGGAACCCGGGGTGAGACTTCTTAAGATGCCGGCTCTGCTCCAAAGGAAGCACCCGATATAATTGAGATCTCCGGGATGCCCTCCTACACTGAGTCCATGCTCAAGGAGGCCTAAGCGAGAAAGGAGAAGTCCAATTACCGGGTAAGCCATCATTACTTTCCATCGATCTATCGTTATTCGCGTTTGATATTTCTCACATTTTTTGCCTTTTGCAGGCCTCGGTACTTCATTACGAGAGTTTTCTCTGGTACCAGGTTGAGGTCAATCAGCTTGAGCTCGAGATCAAGGAGCTTGCCCAGAAAAGGGACATGTACAAGCTTCTCAACGAGCAGCAAGAAGGGGTCCCTAAGAACCTCCAAGCCGAGCTGGATGCAGCTCAGAAAGAAGCATCGGCCTTAAGGCAGGAGCATGCCGATTTGGTGGAAAAGGTAAAGGTTTTTTAAGTTAGAAATGAGGGTCCGGTCGCAGTAGCTAACAACAATACCTCGCAGCTCCAGCAGAAGATCGACCAACTCCGAAAGAAGATGGACGAGATCCAAGTAATGGCTGACGGGTGGAAAAACAAGATGGACCTGCTGGCCTTGAAGAAGAAGATCGCCCAGGACAAGCTGTCTTCGATGGAAGTTCAGCTTTGGGTGGCGAAAGCAAAGGCTGATACACGGGCTCAGGAAAATGAGGATCTCTGGACACAATTGGGCTCGGCCATCGCTTATTAGGATGCCCTTGGTAAGGAGCTTGAAATAACGAGGTCCAGGTTGGAGATAACCTCAGCCGATGTTGACGAGATAGTGGCCAAATACAAGGCCGATGTCAAAGCAGTCGTGGCCCGCCTGAAGGCCACTGCTGTGTATGTGAGGCGGCTATCCCGAAGGGAGACCCTCGAAGAAATACATGCCCAAGGCTTCGACCTATCTACCGAGATCGAGGAGGCAAAAAGACTTGAGGCCGCGAAGAAGCTAGCTGAACCCCAAGGTGAAGAGGGCTCTGAGGGCTCCAAAGAATCTAAAGGCCCCGATGGTTCTGGTGACGAGTCGGGCTCCGGCGAAGATTAGGCGTAAATGCCTTAGGACTTTTTTTCCAGATTTTGTATTTGGTACATATTTCTTGTTAAGCCCATTTTTGTTGGGCCTTTGTAAAGATACTCCGGAATGTAAAACTTTCTCCTTTGGAAATTTTCAAGTCTCTATTATCTTAGCATCTTTTTATAATTGCCAAGATTTCTAGTTTCTTAGCACAGATTTTTGTTTAGAACTTGTGAAAACTCAGAGTGGCCGCAAGTTTCCCCAAGATGCTTGCTTAAATGTTTTTAGACTATGCCTTTGCCGAGGATAACCTTTGAACAGGTTTAGAATTTTGTTGAAGGCTTTATGTTTTTATTACGGGCTTCGGAAGTCTCAGAACCATTTTTAGGGTGGCCGTAGCCTTTTAGGTTTAGGCACTGCCTAATAGGTTTTGTGCCTCCGGGTTTCTATAACCCGAGCGCCCGAATTTATTTCATACGAGAGTCCCCGAGTGGGGGTAGCCCTTTGGGCTCGGATAAGGGTGGCCCTTGGGCTCGATAGTATCCGGGTAGGAATAGCCCTTAGGCTCGATACTTTTAAGAAGCAAAGGTGTTTAATAGCAAGGTAGAAACTTCCTTTCATTTCTGTATGAAGTTTGAAAGTGTGTAAAAGCTTGTATTATGGCTAGGGTGGCCTAAGCGGGCACAGTTCACTTTGATCGTTTGGCCTGTACAATAAATCCTAACCATCGAGCCTAAACTGTTCACGCACAAAGTTTCCTTCCTTGATTGCTAAGAAGCTTGACCCGGTGGTGATGGCCCCCCAGTATTCGAGGTCGATCTTGAGAGGGCTCGGCTACTATTGACAAGACCATTAACTCCGATTAGAAACCGATCTTCAATTAAAGTTAGCTCGATTTACTGTTGCCTCGTTAAAAACCTTGCCGGAAGACCTAATAGTCACATTCTCCTTTGGTTGTTGCCTGCAAGTGTTAGTTCGATTCGTAATATTTAAAAAGGTGAATGAGGTCGTACCTTAGCAGTAGTACCGCTTTAAGTGCGTGTTCCAGTTGTTCGGTAGCTATGCACAATTTCTTGCTTCGAGTTTGTATGAACCCTTACCGGTAATCCCGATGACTGGATATGGTCCTTCCTAATTTGGTCCCAGCTTCCTCTCGTTCGGGTTCCGATTGTGCAGTGTTACTTTTTTTAACACCAAGTCCCCGATATTGAAGTATCAGAGGTTGGCTCTTCAGTTGTAATATCTTTCTATCTGTTGTTTCTGGGTGGCCAACTGGACTAGGGAGGCCTCGCGCCTTTCGTCCAATAGTTCTAGGATCGTGTTCATGGCCTCACCGTTTGATTCTTCGGTCGTATACGGAACCTGAGGCACGATTCTTCCACTTCAACTAGTATTAGTGCTTCGACATGGTAGACCAATGAAAAAGGAGTGGCCCCGGTACTAGATTTCGAGGTTGTACGGAATGCCCACAAGACTTTGGGCAGAATTTCCTTCCATTTTCCTTTGGCATCGGTCAACCTTTTTTTTTCAGGTTTTGAAGTATGGTCTTGTTTGTAGATTCTGTCTGTCCGTTCCCACTAGGGTGATAGGCGTTAACAAGATCTTTTTGATCTTATGGTCCTCGAGAAATTTGTTTACTTTGCTGCCGATGAACTGTCTCCCGTTATCACACACTATCTCGGCCGGTATCTGAAACTAGCATATTATATGGTCCCAAACGAAGTCGACGACTTATTTTTCCCGGACTTGCTCGAACGCTTGAGCTTCGAACCACTTAGAAAAATAGGCTGTCATAAACAGTATGAACTGAGCCGTACTGGGCGCCCAATGCAGGGAACCAACAATGTACATTCCCCATTTCATGAACGGTCAAGGTGACATGACCGAATGTAGTAGCTCCCCAGGTTGATGGATCATTGGTGCATGCCTCTGACAGCCGTCGAATCTCCATACATAGTCCTTACCATCCTTCTCCGTGTCGATCCAATAATAGTCGGCTCTGATTATCTTACGAACCAAAGATTATGCCCATGAATGACTTCCACAGGCGCCTTCGTGAACTTCCCTTAAAGCATATTCAGTGTCTCCTGGCCTCAAGCATATGGCGAGTGGGCCATCGAACGCTCTTCTGAACAGAGTACCTTCGGACAGGGTAAACTTGGCTGCCTTCGTGCGCACAGCTCTCGATTCTTTAGGATCCGAGGGCAACTTCCCAGTCTTCA